ATTGTCGTTTCTACTGATTTCATGTGCATGATTTAAGTTGGGACCTTGTCAACCCAAGAGTTGGTACGTATAGCTTGATGCAACTAATCTCAAGTCTCAAAAAACTAATTACGATGACGCAAAGAATCACGCAGATCATTTTTTTCTCCTAACTTATGCGATGGATAGCGCTCTTGACATTGTTTTTTTTTGAAAAAATACAATTTTATTTTATTTTACTAAAAGAAGAAAGTTGCTATGAGTTTTTTCTTTAAAACAGAGGAGTTTTAAATCTTATTTACAAAAATAAGGTTGTTTTAATTTTATTTGTCAAAATAAGATAGTTTTTATCATATGAATTAAATAACTTACATGTATCAGTTTGTTTTAATGCTTCACTAATAATTTTACAAATAAATATCATTTGTAATACACATGTTTTATTAATTATGATTATTAAATAAAATCAAATACTAATAGATCCAACCTCATTAGCTCATCAACAAGATTTAAAAACAATTACTTTAGTAAAATCAAAATAAATAAATCTTCAAAAATCAATAACTCATGTATCTGGCGAGAAGTTCTGTCACAATCAGCATGGTGCATGAGGATGCTTGCAACAACTGAAACATTGAAAGAGCCTACCATGCCTTTCATATAAAACAATGCAAATCTGACAATTCCAAAGCCTGGTCACTTATACCCATGCAAGCAGTGACTCAACCATCATTACTAAAGTTCAAGAGATCTAAAATATTGTTGTAGATTTCTTTTGGTTATTGAAACCAGCAATAGGAAGCCAACGAGTTAGAAAACAGTCTATATCTCATGTTTACTCTATAGATATTGCATCGATTAATCACATGTTAGAGATAAAATTTAACAAACAAGAGCTTCATAAGGAGTTTTTAAAAGCAAGAATAATGTAGTTTTCTATTATTTTCTTCCTTTAATCTATTGCAACAATTCAGACAATCAGAGTCCAAATTGCAAAAATCTGAGGTCCAAATTTCAATATTAACTAGCAATATTAAACCAATGAAAAAATAAATTTCAGTAGTAGAACAAGCCCATGTTTTGATTCTTATACCATCACTTGTGCCTTTGAAGGTGAAATTCTTAACAGTTATTCCCGACGCTTTCGTTCTCGCTGCCCTTCTCTCCCACACTTCCAACACTAATTCTATGTCCAGGGCCACGATACATCCATTTCTTTGATGGTCTTGGTATCGAGCCATTTCAATTTTTACTTAAGGAGATTGTTAATAGAGTTATTAGTTTTTGAAGGTTTATATATTTTAGTTTTACTAGAGCAATTATTTCTAGTTCTAGTTGATGAGTTAGCAAGATTGAGTCTATTAGTATTTAATTTTATCTAGTAATTATAACTAATAAAATTGATGTATTGTAAATGATATTTGTTTCTAAAATTTTGTAAAATTATTAGTGAATCTAGCATTAAAAAAAATGACACGTGTAAGTTATTTAATCCACATAGTAAAAAATATCTTATTTTGATAAATAAGATTAAAACAATCTCATTTTTTAAAATAAGATTTAGAAATATCATGTATTGAAAAAAAAACTCATTAAAAATATCTAGTACATTATTTGTTTGCGGTGAACTATAAATTAATGTTTCTACTTTCTAGTTTTGTAAAATGAATTAAATAGTTGTTTTAGTTTTAAAAACTAATTAATTAATTCTTATATTCTTAAATCTATTTATAACTCAATTACTTTCGTTCATTTTATGCTTTAAAATCTATTTGTAACTTAAATTTTTGTTCATTTCTTTGTTTATTTTCGTTTTTTTTTTTTTTTTTTTTTGAGAAATAGAAAAAAAGGAGATAATATGTAAAGATTGATTAAAAAAATATTTTTTTCTAACACAATAATATTAAATTAAGTATAATTAACGTTAGTCAAAAGATTAAATTATTTATTTTTGAAAGTAGAGGGACTGATTTAAAATTTATTCTATTTGTCTCTTTTTTTGTTTTATTTTTTTATGCCACCTCTACCCCCAGAAACGTTCATAGCCACATTCTAGGAAGAGACAAGTATGGATGGTGATGGGGCTAGGAGGGCCAAGATTTAATATTCTTGCTTTTATTTATTTTATTTTTGAAGTCAACTCTGTAATGTATATAAAAAATGTGATAGCCATTTGAAAACTACTTTAGAACTAAAAATTGAAGTCCATTATATGCAATAATGCAAATCAGTAAGAATATAATAGTGTAGAGAACAAACATTTCAGAAAAACACTTGACACCACAGCATGTGCTCTGGCGTTCACGGAACGCCTTTTTTCTTTCTTTTTTATTCAATCAAGTTGCTCGTCAATAGTGAGATTTCTATATAATGCTTATACTTTTCTCGTAAAATGATTATATAATTAAGTCCTATATTAATTACCACTCCTCTCCCTTGATCCCTCCTATTTCAAATTTCTAAAATGTAGTACTAAAATTAAAATTTTAAAAATAAAATCTGAATTGACTTGGTTTAATGGTGAAAAGGAATCTAATTTTTAATCGCATTTGATCAACCGGCCGGACTCTACCAATTGTCCTCTTTTTTTTTTTTAAAGGTATAGAAAGTCAATTTTCATTTAGTAAGGATCTCTTTTTAGCATAATCAACTAAATTTGTGTGCTAATAAGCAAATTCTAAACATAAATTAGAAAGATGATATTTTCTAAAAAATAATATTGATTTCTTTTTCAAATAAATAATTGGACTGGAACCGAATGATAACATCCATGCATTTGCCGGGAAATTAGCTCATATGTGAAACACGCTCATATAGCAAAAGAAAAAATCAATCTCAAAAAAATCAATGGGTATCATCTTCATTAAATTAGCTCTAGGAATGCTGTAAAAATAATAAAAATATTTTTATAAACACACAAGTTCAGATGTAGATGATAGATCATGGAAAAACTTAGTCTAAATTATTCAAAAATTAGTTAAAAAAAAAAGCTTACCGTTGAAAAAAATCTTCATTAAAAAAAAAAAAAAACTTAAATCCAACCAATAATATAATATATGAATGATTACCAAAACTTCCTTCCACAAAACCTTTGATCCAAAAAACTCATCAAAATATTTTTATTTCTATCTAACTCCAAGACAAAATCTTTTATACAAAAAATCAACAAATGTAGCTTCCACTCAACTCGATTAACCCGGTTGAGATTTTGGGTATGAAACGTTTTATTTTGATGTTTTACATATACAAAAATAATTAACGGATTCTAAATAAAAAATATTTACAAGATAATAAATATAATATTATTTATGATATGTTTTCTTTCCTTTTTTTTTAAAAAAAAATCATATTACAAAAATTGTAAATACTACAAAAAATATTTATCAACGAGAAATTTTATAATATTCAAGGAGTAATTAGTAGCATATGTAATAGTTACTCCATGGATCCATTCCGGAGAGACGAGATAGACGCAAAAAAAGAAGAGAGATATAGGAGAGAGAAAATTAAAAAAAATTGAGCGAACGTGAAAATATTCTTATCACTTTTGGTAGGCTTGGATGTAATTTTATATGTTTATCTTTCTCCTTAAAGTGAATTCATGGAATAACTATCGTACATGCCACTAGTTACTTCTTGAATATTATAAAATTTTTCGTTGTCAACTTAAAATAGTTATCAAAATAATAATTGCAATGACTAACAAGTTGTTGATCTAGTAGTAAACAAGTTGATTCCCAAGCAAATTTTCTATCAATACGCGGAATTCGAATTTTAGAATTATACTTATTAGAAATTATTAAATTTTATGGTTCTCACTCCGAACATGGTTAGTTCTATTTTCAATATGGGATAACGTTATCTAGATTTAAAAAAAAAAAAAAAAGTTGCAATGTGAATAACAAAATACTATATATTATATTATGTATGCGTAATGTAAATAATTATACATATAGCACAACTGTTATGAATATAAATATGATTTACAAATATAAATCCCTATAACGTAATTTCTGTTCAAATCAATGATTTTTTATTTTTGAATCTATAAAATTCCAAAATAAAATTTTATTACCATAAAAAAAATGAAATGGATTAAACGGTGTTATATATTTGAACAGTTATTACCCGTGATGATTTTTGTTGCTATTGACGTACATAATATCAAATCAAATAATTTTGTCAGCTAGATCCAAAGGCGGCGAAAAGTCAAATCGTCATAGCAGCTGTGTAATCAATCAAATTGTAACAATTTTAACCCTTTCTACTTTATCTCATGAAGTTTTGATTTTGAAGCACATAATCTCCATCCCTTCCACTGAATTAATTTGATTTATACCTCTTTTGTAAGTACTTATAAAATTCCGATTCCCAGTAAAATCATTTTAGCTTTTCTAATTAATCTCTCCTAGCTTGGTGCATGAAGAGTCGGAGATTTTGTCAAAAATTAAATGAAATGGGTACTATAATACTGTAGTACTAGAAAAAGCAGAATTAGAGGCTCCACAAATAACATGTAAACATGTGGGATTGATTAATGTTATAGTATATGTTTTATAGACCCACCCACCAGATTCATATGCTCTATCGTGCATCCATTTATACTTTTGCATAGCATGATTTGTAAGGACAGTTTGGCACGCAACTCTGTTTCTTACAAGTACAGCTATGCATCTCTATGTATTATGGGTCGACCTCCCCTGCAGACACCAATAACCTCCTCTCCTTTATCAATCCTCAATTCATCTGTTTTTTCCCCCAAGTAAATTTATAAACAATACATATTTATATGACTGGAGTTTGAATAAATCAAATGTTAAACAATTCAAAGTTGTACCTAAGAACGTTCCATGCATTAATAATACGAACAAAATGAGTCAGATCAGATGCCAACGACAGATTGTAACATTAATGCGTCTTTTCACAGGTTATTATCGTCAATGGGGAAGGGAAGGGAAGTGGCTTTTTAGATTTTGGAAGCTCAGGCATCTCTATAGATGGCTCTTTATCCAACGCATGTGTCATGCTTTGTCTTTTAAAGCCCCTTGGACCCACTTTGTAACCCCACTCGCTTCCCCTGCCCTCTAATGCCTTTCAGCGTCAACCAAAAGTAACAGTCGTTATGTTAGTTAATTTATGATTGAATTATTTTTTCCTTTTTTTTTTTGGCAAATTAAACTCCTGGAGTCGTGTGGGAACTAATTAGGCTTGTTCTTGGATTATGCAAAACTATTATGCGGATCATATCATTGAAAATTATTATTAATTGTTACAGGAGTTTTTTATAATTTGATTGATTTGATCTACATGAATCAGGTTCTATGATATTAATTTTTGTATGGTATTAGATATGAGTTATTGATAGATTCAAAAATTTTAATTTTTAAAATCAATTGAAAACTAAAAATAATTGGATGCTGGATTAATTTTTTAAGCGGTGTGAGATTGCAGAAGGTCCAGACACCTTTATCATGAAACCCAAAAAAGAAAGAAGGATTGAACACAAATTTGTCCGTAACTTGTGACTTCACATGCTGACACCCGCTTAAGTTTATCATCAAACCCAAAAAGTAAAGTCAGGTTGGCGGAGTTAAGCGCCGGCCATCAAATATCAATAAAGTCCTTCAACTTTTGTGGGTGTTTTATAAAAGTTCATCAAGTTTGTATGAAGTGACAAATAAAATAAAGATGTTGCATTTTAACCCTTTAGTGCCAATATTTGAATTTCTTCTTTATTATATGTAGGAATGTTTTTGTTACCTAAGTATACTTGTCAGCCCTCAACAAAATATTCATAGCTTCTCCACTGTACTCAAGTTATGTTTATCGTCCCTATTGCGATTCTTTGTACAGGTAATTGGCAAAAAAGCTATAGTTGAATTTGTTAACAAAATTTATCCATGTTTAGTAGCTTTGGATAAAAGTATTAGAGAACATATTTTTATATTAAATGATTAAATTAAAAATTGATAAATATATAAGTTTGAGAAGGAACTACTCACTAGAAGACTTAGGTTTTTTAGATGAAATACGATCTCAATTATCTAATTCTATATGGTATCAAAACCTCAAAGAAGCCGAACGATCAAATAAAGGTGTGAAGGAGAATCTTAGAAAACATATCTCATATTAAATAGTTAAACTAAAGATGATAAATATATAGGTTTGAGAAGTAGCTACCCACAAAGACTTAAGTCTTTTGGATGGACTCTAATAAATATATAAATTTGAGAAGGAGCTACTCGCATAATTTCAATTATCTAATTCTATACAAAGAAATATATAAGTTTGAGAAGGAACCACCCACTAGAAAACTTAAGTCTTTTGAATGGAACACAATCTCAACTATCTAATTCTATATAGTATCAAAACCTCAAACGAGGCTTAACGACCAAACAAAGATGTAAAGGAAAATGTTAAAAAATATATCTCATATTGAATAGTTGAACTAAAGATGATAAATATATAAGTTTGAGAAGGAGCTACCTACAAAGACTTAAGCCTTTTGGATAAAATCGATAAATATATAAATTTAAGAAGGAGCTACCTACATAATTTCAATTATCTAATTTTATACAAAGAAATATCCTCGACACCAAAAGATCTCTAAGAGTTACCCTTGCTTTATCTACCATGAAAACGTTTGAAACTACATCCTCATCACCAAAAGTGAGTCCATTGCACCTGGCTAGTCCCTTGGTACATCCACTACGTGCGGCCATCCTTATCGATCATAACTTCACTACCCATACAGTTCAATGACCATCCCAATTATCTTTAGTTCTCTTCATCACAGATTGCATTTAGAGTCTAAAGACTATTGATTGTATATGCCATAATTAAATGTTCTAAGACATCAAAAACAATTAGGAGTGTTCTTTGTTTGATCAAGAACTTGATCGTGTCTGTTAAATGCTATCAGATTTAGTTGGCCGAATCAAATTGGAGATATTGTAGCGGACAGTCAAAAAGCAACACCCGTAAAAAGGTACCAACAATATCTGTGCATGAAAATTTTCTACTAAAACCATTAGAAGGAGAGTTGTAAGAATGGAGTAATGATTTATCCGCTAATGTTATGCTTTTGCAAGGCAATTGCAGGCATCATAGGAATGTTAATGCTCAATAAAATTGATGTGATGGTAACTCAAATGACTAAGAAGCTTTCCCATCTTGATGCTCAAGTTTGCGGCCGAAAAATTGTTGAAGAACAAATCGTATATGTACAAGTCAATGATCGAGCTGCAATGGGCATATAATTGTACTATGTAATCATGAAATGTGGGTCTCTTGCTCTGTAGGGTTTGACCCTGAAATAATTCTTTTAAGTACCACTATGTGTCTTTCGATGGAGCAAAATTGAATTTGAAAATGTAACAAAAAGGCCATAGTTATGGAGTTTGGTTAGAAAGCAAGAGCCTTTATTGTGTTATACTTGATGAAAATGACTACTACTATGAATTAAGGTAAGGAATCAATGAAAGGCATGATGTGAAGTAGACCAACGAGCTGGTGGCTCTCCTGTGGTCGGACTAGGCATTAAAGAGAGCCACTTTGGTATGGCTAATTAATTGGTAGACATTGCTGAAAACAATTTTTATCTTCATGGCTTTTTTGTTTGAGAAATGATTATTATACCCAATTTCCTTCATGGAAACTTTTTTATTGATGAAAAAATGAAGGAAGCGAATGGGAGGAAACTATTTGTTTTACTTCTTTAGAAAAATTATTTCAATGTTTTGGTGTCTTCCATAAATTTCATTGTAAAAGAGCTAAACAACAATTATTCAAAATTCTGCGAAAACAACAAATCATGTTTTGACAAAATACCGTATCCCATTGAAGTAAGAGGATAACCTGCATGTCATTTGATTTTGGTGCTTCAAACATTGCTGTTTTAAGGTAATTATCTACAAGATAAACGACAGATTGAAGAGCTCTGTTAATAAAACAAGTGGAAGTTCTATTAATTTATCTCCAATAATTCTGGATATGTCCAGTTATAATTTGTATAGTCAGATGACATGCCTAAGTAAAGCATCCATCAAATAATTTTCCAATGTTTGGTATACACTCCAAAACAAGAATATATAGGAGTTGGACTGAAACGAAAAACTTGACAAATGGCCGGTTTTTCTTTTTCTTTTCCTTCTTTGGAAACCTGCACCACATTGGACCAGTATCTTTCAACTCATGACCACTTAATTTTTTAGGAAGATTTTGCTGCATGAATTCATCCTCTCAACAGGAGTCCCCATCCCCTTTGTCCCACCTGATTGTTTTGGCACTACCAAAGAAAACAATATCGTATACTATTAAATAAAAAAATGGCTGTAAACAAAAATAACCATGAGAAAAGACTATGCGAATTATTGCCGCTAAAGAAACCAAGCATCTCCCTTGGGATAACAAGTGATTATACCCACCAATTTGTGTCCATCAGTTGCTTTATTCTGAGTGGTGCAGTTTGCTGTTACTCTTCTCTCATTATGGAGATTCTTGAAAATGAGCATGGCTTGTTTCAAGAATAATGATATAGGTGAGAGAAAAGACAGAACAAAAAAAGGGTAGCTACACTTGTTCTTCAGTAATATATGTAGCCTCTAGGTTTTAATGCAGGGTCAAGGCTTTCTTGAAAAACGGTATTGGGTTAGATTCTTTGAATCAGCAGCTGCAATGGCTTCGAATAATTGAGAATATGGAAAGTGCATGAAATGCACTAGCCAAGTGGTATTTTGACATGTTGCCTGTCTTTTTCATACATTTAGTTTCTTCTCATTTGATGGCCTTGATTTTGCAAGCAGTTGATATCCATATAGCTAGGGCTAGTTGGTGTATGCATTGGGCTCCATGTCCACAGGATGTTTCGGCTTTGTGTTTGCTATTAATTGTCCTATAACTCATTTGTCAACTGCTAGTTTTTGTTTCTAATGAGGTTTTTTCTATTCATTTATTTTCTTTTTGTGTGTGTTCTATAGCGAGGAAATCAAAATTCTTCTTAATATATTTGATTTGAGAATATTTCGGTTACAAAAAATATATATATATATAAAGAAGAAGAAGAAGAAGAAGAAGAAGCACAGATTAACAAGTGGAGTGTGGTCTAAAGTGAAGCATAGCATATATATATATATATGCCTCTTTAACAATTAATGAAAAGGGAAGCACATATCATGCATTTTTACACCCATCCTTGGACCAGTTTCATGTTTCAATATCTTGCTATACCATGACAAAATCCTCTAAAAAGAAATAAAACTGCATGATCCATCCATTTTGGGAAGAGACAAAACTATCGAAGCAAATATGTCAACCAACCAAGAAGATAATGTAATTAAGTGACCACATAAACACTAACAAATCCACTCAAGCAAAGATTACTTCACAATGCATGATCCTACATGATGCATAGTTAGGTATAGTGAACCGAACCAGATTGTGCTTTTCTGAAAATTAGCGAATCATTTTCTCTACAAAGCAATAGGATCCTGTATAATGAACAACAGTTAGAAAGCACCAGGGTTGACCTTTCCCTTAAAATATATGAACCCAGCTAGAATGTTAACGCACATGCTGCCGTGGAAGATCACTATGGCACTTTAATAAATCAGCGGCTACCTGAGTCACGCTGCCGGTAAGTCTAAAGCGGTACAAGATAAGAGTCAAATAGGTTTTAATCATGGATCAGGCCTTTGATTTACTACTGCTATTTTGTCTGAAAATTCTGGATTTTGTTGACAAAAAACCCTCTAATTAATATGGTCTTTGACTGATCTAAAACATTCCCATGAATTCACTACATGTGCATAGCAGCAAAAGTTGATCAAACAGAAATTAAAAACAATTGGCCCTGTGAGGAATGTGGAAGGTTTTCTTGGATTATTAATTTTTTCAATATGCCAACTGATAAAATTCTCTCCAATTAGTGGGTGTTTGGACCAAACGACCACCATAGAGAAGAGAGCTATTAGGAGAACAAAAATGCCAAAGGCCCAACCATTTTGGTTTAAGCTTGATAGTACTGTATATGTTAATGTAGTAATGTCGACCATTATCAGCCCAGTAATCCAGATGGGCTTTTGTTAGCCCACCAACCAAGTCCGTCAATGTTTTGCCCCTTGCCCATGCAAAACGGATCCGTACGCTAACTACTATGTTTGAGAATATATTAGGTTTGTTATTCATGGCTCGATGATTTCTAACAGGGTTAATTCAATTTACATCAAAATGTTTGGAATGAATATGATTTATCCTTTTTGAGGTTTTGAATGAATCAATAATTAGTTTTTTTTTTTTTTTTTTGAAGTTTCAGATGTAAATTACTTCACTTCTTCCATCTGAAATGCTATCAAATCTGACATAATAAAGTTTTTTTTCCCTTATCCCTAAAATTTTGAAATTCAATTAAATAGAACCATCTTAAAATAATTCAACTCACTTAAATCGTCTAGTTTTAATTAAAAAGTGCAAAGGATGCTACGCGCATAATTTATATTAACAAATATAAGATACAAATTTAAATTCATCCTTTTTTGAATAAAAATAAAGAATATATATAATTTATAAATTCATAAAAAATAAATCATTATTAGCAAATCAAAATTAGATTGTTGATGTTAACAGAGACCAATTGATTATTTTATTTTCTATAGGATCGTCTTTACATGACTCGTAGTCTTTACATGCTTAATTTATTTATATTTTTCACTCGACGTGTGTTTTTTTTATATGATATGAGTCTATATCATTTTAGATAGATGAGTTTAGAATCTAAGACTAAAGGGGTGTTTGATAACCTAATTAAGCGACTTAAAAAATTAAGTTATAGTACTTAATATAATAAGTTTATTTGATAATCTAAATAATCTCATATTAAAAGTTTAAGTTCGGTTAAAATCTACTTAATCGGGTAAGTTAAAAATTTTAACTTATTACTTTTTGATTAACACGTTCGGTTGAAAGATTTTTAAAACTTTTTAAATATGATTATATAGCCTTCATATATTTTTATAACTTTAGCTATACAAACCAAATGAAAAACAATCTCTACTATTCTCATTGGCGAAACAAAAAAGACGCTCTCCATTATTAGTGCTTTCATCCTATCATCATCAACAAACTATTAGGAATCCGAGGCGTCAAGGTCTAGTCCTATCGCAGGTAATTTTCCTTTTATTCCATTGTAGATGATTTCCTTTTGAGTCTATTGATATCTTGTTGTTTTTTCTTTTGTATAATTTTTTACAAAAAGGTTAATTCTTTTTGTAGATTGATATGTTTTAGTTTCTAGGTTTTGGTTAAATTAAGGCAATATCTTTGTTGATCCTGTTAGTTTTATTTATTTTTTTTTTTTAGTCTAAAAATAAACCACCCAATTGAAAAAATTGATGGATTTGTATGATTTGAATAGAAGCATGAAATTCTGATTGAAAATAAAACCATATGATTCCCATCTATAATGGACTTAGGATATACTGGGTCCTCCTCCTAAAATGACTCCATCTTCAATAATGTTGCCAATTTACCACCTCATTATTTGTGTCGAATGAATTGCTGACTCATAGACCCTGTTCAGCTAACTGGCTCCCTTTGATTCCTGGCTCCATCAAAATTAATTTTGACGGTGCTTTCTCCGCCACCACTACGTCAGGATCAAAAGGTATTACAGCTAAGGACAACCTTGGAGTTGCTCATGTAGCAAAAATCATTTATTATCCCTTTGCATCGGATGCTCACACCATGGAAACCTTGGCTTTCAAAGAGGTCGTCCTCCTAACATCTTCGTTTCACCAACATGTGATTGTTGATGGACTTAGAATATACTGGGTCCTCCTCCTAAAATGCTCCGATCAGAATGATTGTCCTTGAACTGTTTACTGTACTTTGGTTGGAGCAAGTCTTAAGCACCTCTATATACATGAGATTGCTTACGTGTGTGTGTTGGTAGCTAGAAGTTGCTATCATCGCCAGAAAACTCCTTTTGAAACCTTCGTGTGGAGACCATTTATGATTGAGTTTAATAGTCCTCAGTTTCCTCTCATGATTTGTGTATGCTTCATTAAGCAAGATATGTGAAGCTAGTTGCAGTTTTTTCCTCTGCTCTTCTCATTCTCCAACTGTGGCTCTCTTGGATTAATTACACATAATAATGTCTCTCTTCCTCAACCAGTTTAATTATTTTTTAAACAAATTAAGGTAGTTTTTATGGTGTAATTTTGAGTTCTAAGATTGTAGTAATGTGACTTTTGGTACAATAATTTTATTATGTGTAGGATGGCTTCGAAGATAGTGCTAAAGCCAATTGGAAGGACCCAAAAATGGTAAAAAAAATTTTTGGATACATGCATTAAACAAGTAAGTATTCTTGAAAAAAATGAAGGGAGCTTAAAAAAAGAATCATGGGACAATGTAGTGAAAGCATTTGAGGAAAAGAAAGGCATTAAGTTTTCTAAAAAACAAGCTGAAGAATGAGTGGACGTATTTGAAAAAGAAGTACATAGTATGGTCAAAACTAATAGATAAAAGTGGGCATGATTATGATCCAATAACTAATACCGTCAATTGGACTGCATAAGAGTGGGACGATTATGAATATGTATTATTTCTTTTATAAATTTCATTCCTTAGTAGAGTTGAAAGCAATTGATAATATTATTGATTTGATATATTTATGTAACGAGAACAATAGTGACGCGAAACGGTTTCGTTATGTTGGTTTGCAATTTTCGGATGAGATGAAATCATTATTTGATGGAATTTCAGCCATTGGAAAAGAAAGTTGGGGTCCTTCTAAAGACACAATGCCCATAAATGAAGTTGCTTCTTCTATGCCAAGCTGAACCAATTGGAACAAATTTTGAAGAATTTATTGATTTGGGGTCTAATTCTCCGACTTCATTTTCAACTCTAAATGATGAAATAAAAAACCCGAAAAACATCGAAAGAAGAATAAGGATGATGACATTGATGATCATTTGGTGACAGATCGAAGGCATTGGAAGAATCGAAGGACCCGAGTATAGAACAGTGCAATAAGAAGTTAGATGAGATGGAGACTTTAAGAATGGATGACCCTTTATATAGCTGCATGTGCTATCTTTTGTGAAAGCAAAGCATATCGAGAGCAATGGATAAACCTTTTTCAAAAGCCAGAGAAAGTCGAATTGGATGGATCAAAATGGTTGCTAAAAAGTTGACATTGTTTTAATTGAATATTTTTCCTTATGATTTGTGTTTAGTATTTTAGAATAATTTTTTTCGTTGTGATTGTCTACTTGTTTTCATAAGAATTATTGTTTGAATAAAAGTACTTCAATTTGAAAATCTTTCCTTTAATTAGATTTCTCGTCGAGTTTTTTGATACATGCTTTTGCTTCTTTTTTTATATATATATAATTAACGGCATGTTGACGAGATAGGCAAAAAAAGAGTTTAAGAATTATTTTGTTGCTTCTTATACCGAAAACGATTAATAGAAGACGTGTTAGAAGAAGACTAGATATAGATTCGGCTCTTGAAGGACATGCATATATGTTAGAGATCCTTAATGGAAATCTAGCTCATCGTCAAGAAATGTTAAGAATGAAAAAAGAGGCATTCTTAAATTTATGTGATTATTTCAAACAAAAAGGATGGTTAAGAGATAGTCGTTATATTAAGGTTGAAGAAAAAATGGTAATGTTTTTGACAACTTTAAGTCAAAATTTTTAAAATCATGCTTGTGAAACGAAGATTTAATCATTCAACTCAAACGAGTGCATCACTATTTCCATGAAGTGTTGCAAGCAATGTTAAAGTTTGCAAAAGAAATGGTTGTACCTACTTCATTTTATCCGGATTTAAGTCAAGTTCAACATCACCGTCAACTTCGTCAAGTATTTTAGGTTATACATTTAATTTTTTATTTCTAATTTTATTGGTTTATGTATTTTAAAATTAACTAAATTTATTTATTTATTTATAGGATGCTATTGGTGCCCTTGATGGGACTTTAATTCGTGCTTGTTATATCACTCGATCAACAAATCCCATATAGAGGGAGAGGACGAGGAGATTGCTATCAAAATGTCCTTGCAATATGTGATTTTGATATGATTTTTACTTTTGTTTGGGCTGGATGGGAAGGTGTAGCACATGATTCAAGAGTGTTAACGAAACTATACGTGACTCATCAAATAATTTTCACATCCCTCCACCTGGTAAGTTGCTTCATTCTTATCAAATTCTTTTTTATTAAAAAATTCCCCTTATTGTTTTTTTTTTACTTTACGTTATTAGTAGGTGTATTACGTCCAAATGTTTTACATTTTTCATACAATTTATCAGATTAATATTTGATGATAGATAAATATTATCTTTGTGATGCTGCATATGCTGCATACTAGAGGATTTATGACACCATATCATAATACACGATATTGGTTATCCGATTTTCACAATGGCCGTCATCCAAGATCAAAAGAAGAAGCGTTTAATCATGCATATGCAAAATTGAGGAATGTTATTGAACGAGCATTTGGTGTTCTAAAAGCAAGGTTTCCGATTCTAAAGACAATAGCCCCATATCCATTTGTAGTTCGGAGAGATATTGTTGTTACATGTGTTGCAATACATAATTATCTTCGAAGAACAGTTATTACTTGATGACTTTTTTAAAAAATTTGATGGTGATTATATGATGCATCAAACATCAAATATTACTCGTAAATTTATCATTTATCGGAGAAGGGGCGCAAGCACGAGCTAATCAAACATTTATGATTAATTTGCGAGATCAAATTACAAATGAATTAATTAGTACTTGAGATTTCATTTATTTTATGAATAATACGACAATTAATGTTATTTTAGACCATATTTAATTTTTTATTAATAATCATTTTTATTGAATATTTATTTATTTATTTATTTGTACACACAAATACATTTATGTATATATTTTTATTTATGTTAAAAAATATCATGTTACAATTACAAGGTTAAAATTATCATATACATAACCTTAATATGTTCGAGCAATAGTACTTATCAAACATACTTATTATATTCAGCACTTAATTTTTAGTAAATACCAAACAACTTGTCATGAATATATTCGGTACTTAACGATTCGAGTACTTAAAATTCAATACTTAATAGATTCGGTATTTAATTTTGAGTTTTATGAAACGGCACATTAAGTTTGTTCTAACGACGAGACTTTTGTTATTATTATTGTTGTTGTATTTTTATTTTTATTATTATTTTTACTTGTTTTATTTTATTTTTCTAGTACTACTAATTTTGTCTTTTTATAAATCCAGTCATGAACTTATTATTGGGCCATGAACCTAATTTTATTATTTTAAAGTGGCATGGTAGGTTGATATGGGCTTAAGACCTTTTTTTTTTTTTTAATAGACTTATAACTTTTATTGCTTAGTTTGACAAGCAAACCTAGACCTATGATCCAAATTATATATATATATATATATATATATATATATATAGAGAGAGAGAGAGAGAGAGAGAGAGAGAGAGAGAGAGAGAGAGAGAGAGAGAGAGAGAGAGATATTAATTAATTTATAAATTATCTCTAATTGGTCTTTATTTTTTCAAGTAGAGGTCTGATGACATTTTATGTGAAAGATTGAATTTTTTTTTTTTAGTCTCCATCTAAAATTGAATAAAAAAATATTCATTAATCAAATCGTAAATCAAGATAAAATAGTAGATATATAATTGGATTTTGTATATATATATATATATATATATATTATAGGTTAGAATTGAGTGATGTTACAAGCGCATGCTAAAGTTACCGTGATCTTCTCTACTTATACAATCAAACGCTTTAGATAAAACTCTCTTTAAGGGTTTTTTAGTTTTTATTTTTAAAAAAATTAAGTGACCACCCTACATACATTTCAAACAAATATATTTATGATTGTCTGAGTTGTTATCATGTGACACTCATCACCACCATCCACCGAGTGCACCGCACCCTTGGAAACGATGGCAATATCGTGAATATCTTACCTAGAGAAATTTTTATCTTATGAGGAAAGACACCTCCAAGTTGCTCCCGGTTACGACACCTCTAGTCAGGATAGAAGGAAAGGGAGTGCTGCTAGAGGAGGCTATCGAGATACCAGTCCTAATGGGCACCTAAACCAAGTGCAGAATATTTCAACAGAACTTCATGGTTATTTAGATAGACCTGGCATATACCCGGCCGTGAAATTCCTTACGGAAGATGGTGTGGTTACAGGGAGAGGCAACCAATCAGCCTTCCGTAAATGCATCTCCTCTCGTCTAAAAGGAAAGAAGGCCCTATTGGTGGAAGATCAGGGAAAGGTGATGCCCGAAAGCAAAGAAAGGCCAACAAAACTTTTTGAGGAACTGCAAACCGTCAAATTGAAAGAAAAGGGCCGGTCGACATGTCAAAATAAGTAAAGATGTAGCTTCACACTAGCTGAAAGTCAACCCCTCATTTTCTCTTATCTGCCAAAACAAGACATTTTATCAAGGGATACAAGAAGAGCCTCATAACTAGGGAGGTGGCTTGGATAACTCCTTGAGGCAGGCTTCATCCAGGAAGTAATATACCTGAAATGGCTTCTAATGTGACGATGGTTAAGAAGTCCAATGGTAAGTGGAGGATGTGTGTGTACTTTATAGACCTCTATAAAATTTGCCTGAAGGACAATATCTCCCTCCCAAAGGTAGATTGACTGGTCAACTCTGTAGGATTTGAATTTCTTAGTTCCTTCGACGCCAACTCTAGTTATCATCAAATCCTCATGTACCCCAATGGCCAGGAGAAGACCTCTTTATCACAGATAGAGGGACACATTATTACAAAATCATGCCATGCGGCCTAAAAAATTGGGAGGCAACTTGTCAGATGATGGTGAACAAAGTGCTGGAAGGCCAATTAGGTAGCAATATAGGCCAACTGGGTAGTAATATGGAAGGTTATGTGGATGATATGCTAGTTAAAAGCATGAGTTTTGAAGATTACGTTCAGGATCGATCTCCAAAAAGTATTTCTTAATCCTCTATAAATACCGAATGAAGTTAAATCCTTCCAAGTTTGCATTTCAAGGGAGATAAAAAGTTGGTTACCTGGTTATTGGTCTGTTTTTGAGATTTTAAAGACAAGAACTAATGTTGTTATGAATTTCAAGGGAGATAAAAAGGTGGTTACCTGGTTATTACGTCTTGTCCTTAAAATCTGGCTACGATTTTTTTGGTTGACTATGTAACTAAAGAGAAGGAGTAGCGAGCAACAAGTTTAGCCGTTTCATCGCCATCATCATCAGAATTTGGAGGAGAAAATTCCTGGGTTTTCTCGTTAACTGTAAGGGCATCGATCCGAATTCGAAAAAAGTGCCGAGTTATCCTGGACATGCTCGCTCCCTAGTCAGTAAAGGATGTACAAAGACTCACTGGTCGACTGGCTGCCCTAAACCGCTTCTTATCCAGGTTGGGCGAACGGTGCCTGACCTTTTTTAGCACCCTATCAACAACATCAGTAATTTTCAATGAACTTTAGAGTGTAAGAGAGCTTTTTAAGAATTAAAAGCATTCCTCTATTCCCCCACAGATTTTATTACAGCTAAGAAAGATGGTTAATGTCTTTCTATATCTAAGGGCGGCTAACATGGCTATCAGCGCTGTTTGGTTCAGGAAAAAGAGGGAATAAAAAAGCCGGTTTAGGACACCAGCAGGACCCTCCACGACGCAAAACCAGATATTAACCAAAAAAAAAAAATTATTATACTTACAGAATAATATATAATAGTTACTTCTTATACCTATTTTTAAAAAAAGAAATAAACACATAAAAAAAATTATCTCTAAACTTATAAAAAATGAAAAGAAATTTTCATATTGGTTTAATTTTTTTTAATTTTTATTTATTTACCTCTTTTTATTGAATAACTTATACTAATTACTATTTTAGTATTATAAAACTATTCATCTAAAAGTTGAGAAAGTAACCCTTGCAGTACTTAGTGCAACCAGAAAGCTAACTTATCCCATTATGGTCTTGGCCGGCTAGCCTCACGCATATCTTCATAAGCCACATACTTCTTAGCAAATGGTTGGTTGGGCCATCGAACTTGGAGAGTTTGGACTGCAATATCAATCTCGCACACATCCATTAGAGCGCAAACTTTAGCTGACTTTATCATAGAATCAGAATGTTTCCTTAATGATCCCACGGTTGAGATTCAAGCCCAATACAAGTCCACCAGGGGCAAAATTGTGAAAAAAAAAACAAGACTCCGACATCAAACTACAATAATAGTTAATTTATACGTCCATCGGGCCAAAATTTTGAGTAAGTTGTCTACATATCTCTAGCGAGGCCCAAATTTTAGCACTGGATGCTAGATTGACTACCAAGATTCGGCCGGCCTTAAGACTTTTACCGGACTTTTGTTTTCTATTGCATCGCACTATTTTATTGGGAATTTGAGACAGGAAGCATGATCACAGGGTTACTTTAATTTCTTCAATTGAGAAGTTAAATCGAGCATATAACAGAACGCTTATGCCTTCCGCCACCATAATTTGTTACAAGTGTCTTTCTCAAGCCTACAATTTCTAAAAACGCAAAATTGACGTTGATTACATCTATCAACAAAAAACACAAGTTCCAGAGGTTTACGTAAATTATAGTTCAATCTGTCTCTTACGTCTGTGCACTAGAGACTATCATACCGCCAAAGAGATTAGTTTATATAGAAGTCAAAATCAATCTCTTCTCTAGGTCAAGAACTGAAACAAAATTACATCTATATTCAATGACAGCATCGTATAGCATTTCAATCCCTTCTCTAAGGCAAGGGTACTTTGATAAATCCAAACAATTATCAGTTGGAGAATTACCAAAAGTTCACAACACAGCCACCTCTATAACTGACCAAAGGCAATTGAAAGGAATCAGCTCCAGATCTCAGAATTTTAGACACCTTGAGTAGCTGCAGTAACAAAAACAAATACAAAATGACAAATGCTAAGCACTATGCAAAACAGTGTTACTGAAATAAATATCTCTAGTCTACGAGTGGATTGAACTATGTATCATTATGCATAAAACCACTATGCCTGTGGGTGCTTTGGGTAGTTTGAAAATGAAGATTGCAGTCGCATTCAAGCTCAATAAAACAAAAATATTCTATGCTAGCGAGAAGGAGGGTTTGGCCAGGCAAGAGGAATTGAATGACGCAGCAACAGGATGCAGGAATCAAGATGAGAACAAATACCTTTAGCAGGAGGCTCATCCTGAGGCTTCATAGCTGGGAAGAGAAGTACCTCCTGCAACCGAAAAGCAAGCAGAAATGGTTAGCCATAGATGGAAATTAAATCCCCACACAGACATGCTAGTGTGTACAGCACTGGCATGCAAACACAAGGACCCACAAAAAAACAAACACGATGGGGGGATTTTGCACAAACCTTTATATTCTGTGAATCAGTTAGCAACATAGCTAACCGATCAATACCCAATCCCCATCCACCAGTTGGAGGCAATCCATATTCAAGAGCCGTGCAAAATGTTTCATCCAAAGCCATTGCTTCATCATCACCTGATTGTCGATCCTGAAATGTGGAAATAAATTGCCTTCAGACATAATTTCTAGTCATTAGACTGAAATTAAGAGCTGTAAAATGATGGTGTTACCTTGAGTTGTGCTTCAAATCGTTGGCGTTGTACCACAGGGTCATTCAATTCAGTGTATGCATTGCAAACCTGAGCAGTCATACAATAACCATTTATGAGGCACAAACCAGAGAATAAGTAGAAGATAATTTGAAAAGGAACAAAGAGCATTAATAATGTAGTTGAGCGAAATACTTCATGCTTGTTGACAAACAATTCGAAACGTTCGGTCAAGCCTGGTTTTGATCTATGCCACTTTGCCAATGGACTCATAATCTCGGGATGGTTAATGATGAAGGCAGGATTTACACAAGTCTCTTCCAGAAAGTGTCCCACCAGCTGCAGACACAGAAAAATTACAATAACATGAACCTTAAAAAGTTATTTAGTCCTTTTTAATGCAGGAAACAACTCAGCTTTGAACTAAAAGATGAACTCAGCATCAGTATAGCAAGCGCCATGATAAGCATTTACACTCTACGTGTACAAAGTATGCATCAAACGGTGATTTTGATTCAAACAATCAATTGTGTGCATAAATGAGTATCAAAGCATTCTATTGGATTCAAAACCCCAAACCATACAATTTCCCACCACGGCTCCAACTAATGCATATACACACACATGAAGACAGTAGGATACAAATAGGAAAATGAATAGAATGAAATATTTCGTGTTTCCTTCCATGATTAAAAACTTTGCTCAGCAAACACTGGGCCTTGTTTTATGTGCAAGGCTCACTGATCTACTTCAATGTGAAAAAGTCAGTCTATGGTACACAACACCAGGACACAAGGACAGATCACTGTCCTCGTTCAACATCACACAATCTCACAACAATCGACCAAACAAAGAGATAGCTAAGAAAACTTACTTTGTCTAACAAACGAGTTGTCGTTTGAGGAGGGGGCACTTGACCTCAAACTTCTCACATGCAGCCACAAGATACTTGATAGCTTCATCACTGGAAAGGTCCTTTGGTATATTGAGGTTGGCCACCTTCTCCAACTCCTCTATCATATCAATTCGTCTGCAACAGTTAAAAACCATTATTTTGATCAAACAAAAAAGATGTCAAAAGTTATGACCATGCCACAGATGAAAAGTAACATCTTCTCACTGACCTAAACGGGGGTGTAAAGTCAATCTCAATTGGTTCCTTGTCAAGCCCATTTGCGTGATATTTAATTTTGTAGCCACCTGTAAGTTCCTTAACCATGCCTGATTTAAAAAGTAAAAGTATTTCAGTATAAAAAAGTTATAAAAAAGAAAAGTAAAGTAAAAAAGACCAATGTGAAAAAGAAATTTTGCAACACCTAAATATTCACTCTTACCACTCAACATTTTCTCAGTGAGTTCCATCAAGTCATTGTAGTCAGCATAAGCCATATAGAACTCACAGGTTGTAAACTCGGGATTATGTGTCAAATCAATACCCTCGTTTCTAAATTGTTTTCCAATTTCATACACGCGGTCAAGTCCACCAACAACTAACTCTTTAAGATAGAGTTCAGGTGCAATGCGCATGTACAGCTTCATGTTCAGATCATTATGATGGGTTACAAATGGACGCGCAGCAGCACCACCAGCAATCATATTCATCATTGGTGTTTCAACCTGAGTATATAGGTTGAAATAATTAGCAAGAAAGAAATAATTACATAATAGAGAAATGATCAAGGCCTCTGGAACAACAAAATAGATGACTGACCTCCAAGAAATCGAGATCATCAAGAAAGCTCTTTATGTATTTAATGATCTTAGATCTGGTCTTGAATATTTGCCGAACCTCCAAATTCAACATTAGATCCAGATATCGTTGACGATAACGTGTTTCCTATAATTAAACAATCAAATAAACAAATGAACACTCCAAAGGGACAAAGGAAATGGTAAAAGGCCCACCACTGGAGTCTAACCTTGTATTATAAAGAACAGAACAGAAAACATAAACTTATCAGTTTCCCCAAAATATCAAACTAAATTTACCAGAGAATAAATAGACAAAAAAATTCCAACAGATATGCAGCTAAAAGATAATATAATGATTTTATTGCATTATTCTCAAAAGAAAATACTTCCGTATTTTCAATTCCATGACTATTTTTGAGTCGTTATTCAAACATTACAAGGCAGCTAGTCATTACTTGTAAGGTTAATCAACTATCTCTAGCAAGTCACCTTAACCAAAAGTTCAGATTCATCCATTATCCCTTGTAGGAAAATTCATCCAGTCCGACATTAACAGACAACAAAACTAATCTAACCCACTCAAGCAGTAAATGTAATTGGCAATCACAACAAAGTGGTCTTGGTTAGAGTGAGTCGTTCATCCAAAACAACAATTACAAATGATCCAAGAAGATAAAAGGTCTGATCTTTTATAACAGACTTAGTTCTTTAGGTAAATACCTGATCTTTTAAAATATAGGCTTCAGGGTTCCTGACTGATCCTGGGGTCCAAACCTCAGATTTCTGTAGAACAATGACACAATTCCATCATATAGAATCTCAGCCTGAGGCAACTGAGTAAGAATAAAAGTTTCTAACCTTCACACTAGCATCTGAGGCAGGACCAGATTTCTGCCTTGGCATCATGTGCAGACAATGAGACAAAACAGTAAAAGATGTAGGAAAGATGCTCAGCTCTCCTCTTTTGGTTTTTCCTAAATTAGAATAAAGAAATACATTAGTAGAGAATATTTTAAATGCAAAAAAATAATAATTAATTACAGTATAGCATGGCATCCATAGCAATGTGCCACCAGAAAACATTACTAATTCAATCTGACTTGGAATATGGCAGAAGGGAGCACTATTTCTCCAAATGCTTCAGTAAAATAATCAAAATAGTCAAACCAGCAAAAAGATGCTCTCCTCAAATATTTGCTTGGTTCGATATATCTTTAATTTTTCTAATGAAGCATTGAAGGAAAAAAACAAATGGAAGCCCTTGTGTGCAGAATCCAATGCACAAGCATGCACACAATAACAGTATGCTTGTTGTATAAACTAGAGTTTGAACTTTTCATTACACTTCTTTAAACCTGAGATATCGATCAGTCTGATTGTAATAAGATTCAGCTTGAATTCTTTGCCATCATCGAAGCTCAAATGTTCCAAAAATATTCTTTAACAGTATAATTGAATTCTTTAACACACAGAAGATGGAAGGAGAGGGCTTAAACAATGTTATATAACAACTGAGGTCCATTTCTAGTCATGATCACTCAGTCTCAGAGAGAATCAACCACCCCAAGTATTCAACACGGTTTGCTACTAGATAGAGTTGCATCACCTATTGATATAATATTCAACAGTTATTGGTGGCCTTCAGTTGCAATGAGATTAAGGCAAGGAAAAAGGATTGGGAATGAAAGCTTGTGTTTGATAGTACAAATATCAAGGGTGAACTAAGAATCGTTTTTAGTTATTGCTTTGTTGAACATATTATGAGTTGAAAACATAAGACAAATGAAAAGTACAGCATATTATCTAGCACTTGCAAAATCCCAAACCTGGAAATCCGGTGACACCAACAATATCGCCACGCTTCACACTGGAATGAAGCTTAGAAAACTCCGCTTCATCAAGGCCTGACTTGCTGAAATTACAGGAATTAACACTTATCCATTGAGAAAGGAAGCAACGAAAGGAGTAGAAATAGCATGCAGTGAATCAATCAAAGATATCTAGAAGGTGAAGTAGAGGAATGCAATATTTTAACTCCTAAAACAAGTCTAGTAATGCCAAATAACAAATTTATAAATTCACACTTCTACTTCAATATGACTTGTGGCATTTATCATCATTCAATATGCAACTTTACAAACATGTGATATGCATATGAACTGAAAAGGCTATAGCAGAAAAGCATTAAAATGAATACGCATGACACTAGACATAATACATACAAGTATATAAGTTTGCATTCCGAAGTATTAGGATGGAATGCAACAAACTAAGAATGAACATGTTTCGATTAATGAACATATGTCAAAAGTCACTAGATACCTTGCATCAGCCATCACTTGGACCTTAGCACCAAGACCATGCAGATCGTAAAAGAACAGCTTCGAAGAGGAAGATCTTTTACTCATTATTCGACCTAGAAAACAAAAATAAACAAGTTCAACAAAAATCAAACATGACACAACCAAGTACATAAAACAATAGAACAAAAGTGTCTATGCTCAAATTACCAGCCAAAGACACGGAAACATCCTCAAGATGCTCTCCATTGCTTAACCCTCCATACTTGTCAATATATTCAGGGATGGACAGGGTGACAAAAAACTTATGAGGGTACATATTTTTCCCTTCTCCCTTCTGAGCATCGAGATATTTCAACCTATTTTCATAGTATTGCTGTAACATAAAACAACACAAGAAACGAATTAAAAAATCAAACCTTTAACATAAGTTTATTTTGTACTAATCAAGTGAAAACAAAATAAAGCAAGAATGAAAGAGTTATACCGTGGGGTCCATATCTTCATCATCGGCTGCCACTGCAGACTTCTGAACCTGGTTGTTGACCTTGGCAGCAGCCTGCAAAATTGAGTAGCATGGTCAAAAGACACAACAAAACAGAAGTTCATTTACCAAAAAAAAAAAAAAATCACAAATGTTTAAAATAAAGAAAAAAAATCACAATATTTGAGAATTACAATAGTATTAAAAGAAAATTAAAAAAAAATGAAAAAAGAAATGTAATGAAATGAAAAGGAAGGAAACCTGTCTGGCTTTCTCTTCCTCCTTTTGACGTCTCTCTTCTTCTCTCTTCTTATTCTTTAATTCCTTCTTCAGTGCACTACAAGAGTAACATACACAAGCCACAATCAATCCGTCAGTGACTTGAACAAAATTTAACTAGAAACAAATGAGACAGAGAGAGAGAGACTGACTTCTTGCTTATGGTTTTCTCGCCTGCAGCAGAAGCGTCGGTCTCCTCCATTGTTGAATCAGACAGAGGCAATGCCCGCAGTTTAGCTGATAAAGAGAAAGAGAGAGGGAAATGCAGGAGAGGGGAGAGGTTTGGGATGCGACTGGCGCTGGAATAACGCTACCTAGGGTTTTGATAAAACGCCTGGGTTGAGCACAACAACAGACAAGGACAGGCCTTTTTTCTCCTTCATTTCTTTTCTTTTCTTTCTTGTATTTTCTTATGCATATGTTATGGACCAAAACTAAAGCCTTCCAAATTTCTTTTAAAGGCCCATTTATTTCAACACAAACGGGCTGAATGGTAATAATTTGGGCCCAATTTAAGTCATTCTCATGTTTTGGCCTACCAGATAAGAGAGAGAGGTACGAAATAGTGAAAATGAAAACAAATACTACCCATTCGTACCATAGATTCATAGGTAAATTCATTAGCTTTTATTTGAAAAAAATAATAATAATCGATTTAGTTTATGTGAATTCAAAATTGAATATATATTTCTGATTTTACTGTTTGAATATACAAATAAAAATAGAATTTTATATGATTATGAAAAGAAAAGGGACCAAGAACCCCAAAAATAGTACTATTAAATAATACGGAAAACATGCATCGTTTCACTTAGCCATGCTTGATACTTAATAATATTAATTTTGATATTTGATGTTGCAGAGTTTTTTCCAGATTTTTTCTTCTAATCCTATGCCTCAAAGTCACGAGCCTTCTTGTGGATGACATCAACTCCTATCTTATTGAATTTTTCAACAGTTTCCCTTCTCCAGTTCTTAAAAGTTTCCAGTACTATCATTTATTCACAATAAATACCAGTTTAATTCACATTTATTTCCACTTTTAAGATGAATGTGTTTTCTGTATCAACCTTCTCTCTCTATGTACATGTGAACAATAGACGAAATGATTTTTTTTCCCCCTTACAAGAGTTCAATTTAACTAAAATTAGGGGTCCTATTTGCAAAATGAGGTTAAGAAACAAGTTTATCAGTTGCAAAACAATTTGTTGAATAATACTTTTGCAGGAGAATGGAAGACAATCTATAAAAACAAGTTGAGGGCATTTAAACATCTCATAACTATTTTAACCTATTTAGTGGCTCCAAACCAAATGATAGCCAATGTGAAACTCTCAAGATTGAGTATAGCTAAATTGAGGTCCTTTGCATCAGAAGACGTTATTACATGATGAATGAAGAATACAACCGTTTGCTGCTATCACTGCATAATAACTACATTTCCACATCGATTTTCTAGCCACATTAGAGTTCCATTTCACAATTTATCAGAAACCAGGCCACGCAATACCTCATGGCATCTTCGAGTTTTGTCTCGACAGAGGAAAATTGTCAAAGCATCAATGGATCCACTTCATAGATTGATCGGCAGTATCATCTTACAAGTGGTATGAGCAAGTATTCGGCATAAAATAGCTGCAAGATGATCACACAAATGTTAAAAAGAGTCGCACCAAGTTCGAAGAAACAGAATAATCACCCGGTAAAGGTGTAAAGCTTGTGTTACTGTCTGCCAATCCACCATTAAAATAAATTAATAACCAAAGAATGATCCATCGGCACCAAGGCATGTCGTATCTCTAATTTGGACCACAGCCTAAACAAGCTCCATGTGGAGCAGAACAAGAACAAAAAGTCGGACCACTTCTCTTAATACATAAAAATTGAATTATTTACAAGAATGAAAGTACAAAATGATTGGTGCAAATATGACTCCCTGCCTGAATTTCAAGATGGTAAGAAGAAACATGTTACAGAAATCACACATTGAGAAGCATTACATGCTAAATAAGCAGATTATCTATTCATTGATTTATTTGGAGTGAATTGACCAGTTTTATTTTGCTATTTTTATGTAATCTTTCCTGCAATGTTGAAGTCAAGTGGTAGATGGTTACCTTCCAAATAAACATGTAGCAGGAAGTTATTGAAGCTTTGCTCTTCAGATCGACAGATTTGGCACGGTTCCACAGTACTGAAGCCAGGATGGCATGACCCAAAACCTAGCCAAATGCAATGCGGGTTTGAATCAAAATATGAGTTACAGTGAAAGTAAATAAAAAAATTTCAACACTCTCTTTATGAAACTATAGTTAATTCATCTAGCAGACATTCCAATTGAAGGTTTTAGACCATTCATCAGATGAGATGCCCCTCATTCCCATGCAAGGTTATCATAAAACATAAATTAATTCTCCGTGTTAATCAACAGTTTGATTGTTCAAGAGTCGATAATAATCCACGTTGGACCAAGTGTTTCTAAACACTTCAAGTTTTGCCATTTTGTAAAAGGAAGCCAGTTATAACCTAGATTTATGCTTAAACAATACAGACTTGTATAATCATTTCAGCTGACTTGTAGAAGCATGTGTCTCAGAACTTAAGTCATTTTTTTCCGCTTCATTTTACACTTCAAAAACAATATAAGGAAGGAGGCTATATCACTGAACGTACTCAAGAAAAAGACAAAAACTATGCATGCTACCAAATGCCAGTTATATAAATAAAGAAGCAAGAACAATACCGTGATACATTTGCTCCAAATGTAGGGAGATGCTGCTCCAACCAAAATGGCAACAGCATAAGCAGTTTCAAGTAATGAAATACATGTCCAAAATACCTGAGCAAGGTAAATCAGGTATGATCAATAGAGACATTAGTAAAACCAAAGGTTACTAGAAGTTTTCAATTTGGAAAATGTATAATATGTTCTAAACTGACCCGGTTTTGTCCCAAACGCACTGTAAAAGATCGGATGCCAAAAATCTTATCTCCTTCAATATCAGGTATATCCTGTACATTACGAGGTGAAAAAACATCTCTTTAGTTTACAAAAACACATTTATCGACAAGCCTAGTACAAAATACAAACAGCCAACTTCAAAACTTTCTGCCTTTACCACTCCACCATTATTAAATTTAAATAAATAAATATCATTTACCTTGAACAGTGCTATAACAACTGAGAAGAAGCTCATAAATGCAGTTGCAAAAATCAGCGGCCTTGAAAAGACAGGTGGCCTTCCATACACATGGGTCTGGAAATTGTCAAGCAAATTAATAATCAGGCACTTAACATTTCCAATAATATGTGACAAGACTTCAAAGCTAAAAGCTTCCATGCTCATATATGCCAGAAAATTGCTGAATACAACAATTGATTCAATAATGACAGTCATTTTTGTTACATTGAAGTCAGAACAGTCTAAAGTACCAAGACAATGAAAGTTGCCACCATGTTGTGGGGGGAACAGCCCCATAATGGTGCTTTGGAGGCCCTCAATTTTATGTACTCAATCCATATGCACAGGAAAGAATTACCTGCATATGCAGATAAAAGGCAAGTTGAACAATCACAGCCCTAACAGCTAGGATGCACATTGCTGCAATGAAGGCAAACCTTTTCCATCTCAATAGAGGCAGCTGAAATAACACAAAGATACAATGACCACTTGATTAGAAACCAACAATGTAGTATTTCATCATTTAAACCATGACAGTGATCTTCCAAAATGGTTACCGGTTACTGATGTAACAAGAGATCCAGTAACCACTGTCAGAAAACATACTCTGCTAAGCCATTCCTTTCCAAAATATGACTGTTAATTGAAATTAACCAAAACCAAAACCAAAACCTTATCTTTTAAGATGAGAGTGGTCTAGAGATAAAAGTGCCATCTGATGCCATCAGCTTTATTAGCTCAATTACATCATTAAAATGACATGGATGCCCCTATGCACAATTCACAGAGCAAAACTGCAAATTGCATGTTAAACAAGGAACAAGAGCTGCAAAATGCATGATATACAAAAGACAGCTATTTAATATTTGACCCCTTAATTCTGACAAAAGAACTAGTAGTGGAAAAGAAAATACAGGCACACACAGAATATAAAGATGTCCCTGCATATGTGCATGAACATTTGCAATTGTAGTTAGACCAACTCACATTAATTGAATATGCTGTTCCAAGAACAAAACTGATGAAAAGAGCCCAAAATAATGGCCACGAACCAACAATCCACCCAAGCCAAAAGCTCTGTAAAAAGAGAGATAGTTAGCAAATTTTTTTTTTCCTTTGGAATCTGCAATCCAGATGCAGTGGACGACTATTCTAAATGTGGAAAGAGAAACTCCACCTATTATAACTGATGATTTAAAATTACAGGGTATTTTACTACAAATATGGACCAACTGATACCATATTTCCCAAGTTTCATTTGCTAGTAATACGAGATCCATTACAAGTAAAATGAAAGGAAAATATAAACAAACTGTAGATGTTTTGAAAAGATATAACTACAATCCTGAAAAACTGATTTGCAGATGGACGCGTATGATCAATCTCTCTCTCTCTCTCTCACACAACAACAACTGAGAATAATAGTGCAATCAATTCTCAAACAGCATATTGCGCAACCACATATTGGTTGAGTTTGACACAGCCTTATAGTAAATGTTCGTAGAGTCTCTCCACCTGCTAGTTTTAAATTCGTGTTGAATTAACACTAAAGTAAGCACTCTACCCACGATTACAGGAGCTGTTCACTAACTTCCTAGTGTCATTTTTAGCAGACAAATATGGAGAAGACAAGACTGTATTTACATATTTGTGCAAATACAAAAAAAATTAAGAATTATCCACTACTCTAAGCATGTAATGATCTACCAATAAGAATATTTTTGAATATAGATACCATGATGGAGAAAGACGTAACGATCATCATGCCAGTGCTTATCGAATACTCCCCCGATGCCAATGGAAGATATGGCTTGTTAACCTGCAATGAAACATACAGTGCACATTTAGCAATAGAAAATCCAAATAAACCTATCTACTTATCTATTTTCGTCAAGTTATTCCAGCTACCTAGACAGAAAGTTGAGTGGTTCCAATGATGACTTTTCAACATAATTTGCTCAGACATGGTCAATCAAATTGCTGGAAGCGAGCATTGTAGGCATTTCTACTGCTCAACTAATATAACACGGGAAAACTAGAAGGAAAATGAATATGACAGACAGCTGAACAATCTGATCATTCCTCAAACAAAAACAAAAATAAAAAATAAACAATTGATCAATTTGGTAGAAAGTCAAAAGATGATCTTTGAAGCAGCAAATAACTGATCCTTGCAGCCCTTGCCCAATGTGTCTTCAGTTATTAATTGAAAGCTTTCCATTCCTTTTGTTTTTCATTTATCACAATGTTTTTACTAAGTAAAGCTACCTTGTCTATTTCGATGTCAGTCAACTGATTCAAACCCACAATATAAATATTCATCATGAGAGCAGCAGCCACCGCCTGAAATACCATAATAACAAATAAATAAGTGGTGATGATGATTATAAAATTATCAAAGCCAATTAATGAACCCCTTAAATTGACTTGAAATAGTTGGGCATTACCTCCAACACCCCTGTGAAAAATAGTGGAGAAATATCTGAGAGCTTCTCGATTGCAAGCAGAGAAACTGATAAGATGCTCAAAGCCTGATGACAAAAAAGTAAGAATGAACCATTTTTATTTTTATTTTTTTGACTAGAAAGTGAGGAAAAGAAATTCAGAATCATAAACATGAATTATATGGAGATCATTACAAAAATTTTAGAATCCGGTAATAATATACAATGAACATTAAACTTGAGTAAATTATAAATTGGTTTCTTTAGTTTTGCAAAATGAATTAAATAGTCTCTCCAGTTTCAAAAACTAATTAACTAATCATTTTCATCTATTTTAAGTCATTTTTCAATTTATTTGTTTCTTTTTTTTTTTTTTTAAGAAATAGAAAAAGTATAAAAATGAACAGACATTATGGAAAGATTGATGAGAAAAGAAGACATTTTAAAAAAATTAACATTAAATTATGCATGGTCAACACTGATTAAAGAACTAATTAATTAATTTTTTAAACTGGAGAGACTATTTAATTTGTTCTGCAAATATAGAGGGACCAATTTACAATTTATTCTATTAAACTTTTGTTGGACTTATATGATCAACTTTGACTTAACTGTGCCTATAACAGTATGAGGCCTTGAAAATCTGTAGAAAGCATCTAATGCATTTTTGACAGGTTTTGAAGCACTCTCAGGATTATAAGCTCCAGGCTCAGATTCAAGAGGATGTCCAGAGGCAGCATGCACTAAGAACTTAGCATTATTTTCCTCGTAAATTGTAGATTTTTTCGAACATCCATTATGATGCCGCTGAAACCTAACAACATACTGTCTTTCTAGAATCTTCCTTGCTCTGTACCTGGAAACTTGAACTGCTCCTATAGAACCATTTATCGCGGCAATCAAAACAATAGAGAATTGTGGCCACATAAAAACAAAGTAATTAGAGGCAAAAATTGTTGAAATCCAAAAACTGGAAACAATCAACGTGAACTACGGGAACAATCCACTTCTAGAAAACAAATGCTTAACTATAATCCCACTGAGGAACTAAATTTTAGGAAACAAAAAGAATATCTATTAATCAAAACAAGCTATTCTAGGAAATTTCATGAACTCTTTAAAAGGCCGCAGGTTGTATATGATATTGTTTCAGCTATAGATCCCTTGTTAAATGGTTTGTAACTAAAATCAAACGGCCACATTTTGGCAACAAAGGCACCACATAAAATTGTTGTACTAACTAGCAAAACTTGCACTGAAAGCAAAAAAACTTAAACAAGCTCATTAGAACAAAGGCTTCCTATCAAAACTTGCTTAGAAATTAAGCACGGGCAACGTATTAGCAAAGATATTCTAAATGAAAGGTGCGGTTGTGTAACAAAGAATAATGCCAAGGAAACTCATCACTACATAAAAAAACAATCTACTAAATTATAGAGCCACCCAAGCGATGATAATGACCTTAAGTTATTCTTTTAAGGAAAACTTTCTCCTAACATAAAGAGAGAGTAAAGAGGAGATATAAAACAAAAGGTTTTTGAATAAATGCTTAAAAATCCTTACATTCTATGATCTCTCGAAAGAAACATTAAATTGTTTTCGTTTTCAACTAACCAAGAAAACGGTATCCTAACATATTTAAACTGCCACGTCATTTAATACACTGCTATAAATTCTTAATGTTCCTAGCATTAGTATAAACAAATGCTTTTAGCAAATGGGTTATAATGCATAAATATTACCCTAGAAAAGTAAAGCATGACTGTTTAATGCCCTGAGCATGCTTTGGAGTATTTACAAATACTATCTGTAAACCACACATCGTTGGTATCTTTCTCTTGTTTGAGTAGTGATTCAGCCAACTCATGTCATTCACTACAACCTAGAATTTTGCTAAATTCAGCAATGATTAAACCTCTCTCCAACATCAATTGAAGTCTGGATGCCAGAAAGCTGAATACAAACTGAGCTATACGGTAGGTTACAAATGGTGTAGAAAGGAAGGTGGCATTAAAATTTACAAACACGAACCAATAACTGTCACCCATTCTTTACTATATGGACTTTTTAGTCACCTTCCAACCTATAGCTGCAGTGATAATTATTTTTAAATAAAATCTCAAGATACTCAACTATAGATTATTTGAATAAGCAAGAGAAGATTGTTATCAAAATATATTATATCATGTAAAGGAAGAACAGAAAGTATTGTACTCAATGAACTCAAAAGAAGCTACAGCAAACTGTGGCAATGCAATGCTCTAATTCCTTAGGTCTGTTCAATAAGGCAGATAGGTTGCTGTATCCCAGATGAAGAAATTTAAGATAATTTTTTTTAAGACAAAAACAACAGAATTTAAGATGCGCACAATATGATGCTAAGGCAAAATGGCTCTAAGAAAGCCTGAAATTATTTTCATTTGATATTTAATTAAAGAAAAAAAGAGTTTTCAGCAATTGGGAGTGTCATAATGTTTTGATGCGAGGTTGGCATCAAAAAAAGGAATTTTTCCAGCTCGGGTTTCAATTTCCGCAACTTGGACAATTATGTGGCCATAAAAGCTATCCAACAGCTATTCATCATTACAATTTGTTCTACTTATTCATTACGGTAATAATTTATTTTCCTTTCTGACACAGCTATAGACTGGATTCATTTTCCAGTGCTTGAACACCAGACCACCCATTTGTCAACTATTTGAATTATAATAAATTAAACGAACAGCTAATTTCAAGTCCTCATGTAGAACATTTGAGGCGTCAAGAAACTTTAGATGCATCCACTGTATCGCAACACAAAATCACAAGTAGAAACCAGCATGAGGGAGGGTTGGCCCCTGGCTAAAAAAATTCCCCAGTCATATTAAGTGCTGCGCCTCCTCTCATCTAATCAGAAACCCTCCTAACCTAAAAGAACAAACTGCGTCCTCCCTTGCAAACAAAAGTCCCAGCTCAGCCAGTGCACAAGCATCCACGCACAAATATAGAAAAAACTATTTATTTATTTATTTGGACGTGAACGTAGCAAAATTACTAAAGACAACATATCACCTGATTTTCATGTGATATGACCTAATATGAATACTGTATAAGACATCATTTTCTAAATTCAATAATTCAACTTGGTTTGACAATTTTTTATTAGGTTTTATTCAAATGGTTCAGCAAAATATGGGTTTTCCAGTTTTTATCAGTCCAATTGTTTTTTACCCGAAATTGAGTTAAACTCTATTTCAAAACCAGCACATGCAATGTAACAATTAAAATATATCAGAGCAGGAGAAAAAAGGGGGGAAAGAACAAAACTGTGCACAGAGAGAAATCATACCATTTCCAGCAATCATTTAAACCAAAAGCAAAAACAGTGAGAAGTAAGCAAAAACATACTTGGAGAACGACCCGCTTTCAATTTGCTGCTGCTGCTCCAATAATTCCCACCTATCATCAATTAATTTTGCATGCAATATCAGACATGAATAAAAAAGTCAGGGAAATTAAATAAGCCCGAATAAAATAATGCAGAAAATGAAGAAAAAGAAGGAACAAATGAATTAAAGTACTAAACTGAGATGGGTAATCATCTTATAATTCACAAACTCATAATAAAAAATAAAAAGAAAACATATACCAGAAGTATGTGAAGAAGCGAGCTGAGGAAAGGACCCAAGAAGTAAAGACTTCATTTTTTTAACAATTCCTTAATCAATCAAGAAATGGGCTCTCAAGTGTTGACTCCTGGCTCTAAATGGTATTTGCTTAAAAAGGCAGTTAAGAAGTAATCAACCGAAACAAGTTAACCAAAATGGGTTTTTACATTTCTTTTGAGTACTAAGTTCTTGTCCTGAAGCCAGTGGCATTGCTGGAAATTTAACCAATTCCAGACTTTTGCTGGCAAACACCTTTTATCTTTTCTGTTCGGCAATGACAACAACACTCACGTGGCAGACAATAAAATTCAAGGAGTAATGAAGTTGGCCCAGTTTTGGTCTGTTCAGAAAAGAATGGTGAACTTATTTAGTCCTAAGTTTTCAATAGATTACTTTAGTCCTTAATATTTCGAAACTATGACTGAGTTCTTCCACTCTCCGTCAGTTGTCCCTTTTCTTATTAAAATGTTTTGATTTTACACACAACATTTTACACGTGCCCCCATAAACAGGAGACGTGTGACAGTGAGTAACTAGAAGACCATCTTAGGGCGGAAACACCATCGACCGGGGGTTCATCTGCCCTGATGCAGCTAAACTAACTATTGGAGAAATTTTCGTTATTCATTTCTTATAAACTGAGATAGTTTTTTTTTATTCTCACGCTAAGTTACAAGTTCAATAAAATATATAAAATTATTTTATTTTCATGTTTCGTATTATATTATGTATCTATTAAAATATATCAAATTAAAACCGGATAAAAATTCATTCAATTTTATCATTTTTTAATCAAAATTTTATATTTGACTAATTATTATTATATTTTAAAAAAATTATTAAAAAACATTATTTATTTATCTCTATTCATATTTTTAGTTAAAATCTTATTTTATAAATTATTTTTTTCTAAATATTTTTTTATCTTCAACTTTTTAATTAAAAAATTTTAAAAAATATGGATCAAAGTGATCAAAATAAAATAAAAAAATAAGATCAAAATCAAATAAAAAATATTTATAAACTAAAAAAATAATATTTTAAAAAATTAAAGTATAATGTTATTAAAATTTTCATAATAAATATTTTTAAAATGTTTAAAAACTATAAAAAATATTATTATATAATAAAAAATGACATATTTAAGTTTTTTTAGATAAATAATGTTTTAAATAGCACGATCGATAATGACCAATAGATTTAATTTAATTTTTTTGTAATTTTTTTTGGGTGCTGGGCCTTTTAGTAAAATGAATAAAAGTCATCACTTGACGTCCAAAAGTTTTGCCTTAACTTGAACTTATTTCATCGACTAGAGTAGCGCGTGTAGGCACGTGCATGGTCCCCTGTGTGCTTGTTGAATTATTAGGAAATGACAGTTCGAATATACTGTTCAGCTGGTCACAGGGGGTTGCAATCAATCACGTTATGGGAATGTACTTGGCTTGGAATTTCACAGCGAATGGTTGGTTTTGTTTTGAAACAATTAGATAATCAACGGAAGTTAAAGTTTAAGATGTGCACGACTTGAAACGTTACACATAAGACAAAAAATTGAAGCTCTTGAAACATTAGACTGATGCGGCCATAAAGGAGGAGCAGTCGGCTCCCTGCTTTATGCTACGGAACCAATAAATATATTTATTTTAATTTAATAATATAATTAATTAATTAAAATATAAAAAATTTATCTAATTTCATAATTTCTAATCAAAATTTTTTATTTAATCGATTCTTCTTGATTTTTTTAAATTTTATTATTAAAAAATAATTTATTCTTCTTTATATATTTATTCTTCAATAAAAAATTATAATAATCTGAATAAAAATTTAATATAAAATTTTAAAAATATTTTTTAATATTTTTTTATAAGATTGTATCGAAAAAATAAAATAACGATTAATATAAAAAATTTTACAAAAATTAACAAATGAATTTTTTTATTATTGTTTAATGCTAATGAGAAGATTAACTTTTTGAAAATATGTATATCTAATTTATATGTATTTATTTACAAAATAATCAATAATATTAATATAATAAAATATATTTGAATTAGAATTATTCAGTGGTTCTTCTAAAATACTATTTTAATTATTTTATTTAAATGAAATTAATTTTAGAATATTAAAAAAAATAACAAATGGTTAGTGTTATATATGTAGATGATTAGTTTTTTTAAAAAAAAAAACTAATGATCACGATTTTTTATATATCATGATCATACTCGGTGGGTCGAGTGTGTAACATAAATAAAAAATATTTTTATAAAAAAACTT